TTTATTCTTTTTTTTTATTGAAGTATCATTGATAAACAATCTTTTGTTGGTTTTTAAATATAAAGCACAGTGGTTCAAGAGTTACCATATTATTAAATCCTCACCCCCCTCTACTGCAGTTACTATCTATCAACGTAGAAAGATGTTACAGAATCACTGACTGTATTCTCCAAGAATGTTATTCTTAATAAACACGAATGCCTCCACCCTTAACTTTTAACATTAAGACAGTCTGGAATTTCTAATGTATATTATTGCCATAGGCTCCAATGAGAACAAATCTTTGGTGAGTGGGGGTGGGGGGGGAAATATTTTCCTAAGAGTTTTGATAGTTTTCAATAAGCTTTCAAAGGAAACACCAATGCAAGAAGAACCAAAAAGTGATTTTTCTCATTAATATCATATTTGCATACATAACTATGTTCAGAAATGATGAATAAATATGTCTAGCTGTCCATAGGGTATGTTTAAGAAATTTCCAAAAAAATAACATTTGAAAAGTATCCTGGGTAAATCTGTAGAAGGTTAAAAATGGAAATGTTAAAAGTGGAATTTTTTTAATGACTGTTATACCCCTACTCTGCTCAAATGACAACAGTTTAAGAAAATAAAAGAAACTGTGGCTTAGGATAATGTCTGTGGAAGTGTCTTATATTTCTGATCAAGAATTTAAAGATGCTCTAAAATAGATTATTTGAAATAGTAAGAGCTATTTCCCTGTTTAGTCTATTAAAAAGAGTTATATACAAGTGACTTACATTTTATTTTTAAGCAACTCAGTAATAGGTGCCATTTAAAAAATATTGTTAAAAATATAAAGAATGATCCTGAAGAAGAGTTTCAGGAATTGACTAAAAGGGGAACAGGCTAATTTCTGATTGAAATCCTACTTTGTAGAAGAGCATCTCTCCCTTGGCAATTAAATCATTTTATATTCTTCTTGCCATATTTATGAAGGCAAATGACCTCAAGATAAACAATGTATCAAAAGCATGTACACACACACACAAATGAATACACAATCTATCCCTATTGTCATTAGTACTTAGTACATTCCAGTGGCCTTGTATGTACAGGACAGTAACTTGTAGTCTTGACTTGAGTCACTAAGGAAAAATTGACAAGTTCAGTATACTTCATTGTTAAGGAGTTAATGAACTATAGAAGACATCTTGAAATGCAGGAAAGATAAAGCACCTGTGTACTACAACCTTTCCAACAGAACATTATGACAACTTCTTTGGTAAAAGTTATGTTTTGTCTAGCTAGTCTTCTTTTTTTTTCCAATTTAAAATGTAGCAGAACTCACTGATGGCTTTGCATTGTTCAGTAAGACTTAGTTTCGATTAATCTTCTGTCTTAAATAAGACAGATAAATACTAAACCCCCATTCTTCCAAATGAACTCTCAGTAAAAACAGGAAAGATTTAAACTCCCTCTTTTGATCTCTTGAGGGACAGAGATCAAGCAGATAGAAGCTCAGTGAACTGCACTATTAAAAGTCTGAGCCTTACCAACCAAGCAGGACTACAACTCTTAGTGTTAGAACCATCTGGTTAAGATTCAAAGCACCGTCTTGACACCTTGCGACGGGGTGGTAAAATGGATGCAAACCACTACTTGAAGCCAGTTCCTTCTTAGATCAATCCAACTAAGTAAATCTAAACTTGTAGGTAGGCTAGGGAATTTAGGGATAAACATGATTTAGAAAGAGTTGAAGTTTCACAAGCTGAAGCACAAATGACAATAATTTGAGTATTAAACCAAATAAGATATTTTATTCTAGGTCAAGTTAGGTTAAATGAGATGTTCAATCTGTTTGCGTATTGTTTAAGGGATAAATCAATGAGTCACTATGAAATTTAAAAATAAGAAAATAGGAATAAGTGGATAAAAAACTAGACATTATATTAATATCTATAAAATAAGTAAGCCATTATTTAAGTTAAAATATTTCTTTCTCTTGAATTGTTTAACTTGTAAGTTTACTCTACATGGATATTCATTTTTTACTAATTTTTAAACAATAAATAAAGAACCAGAAAGCATGTAAATATAAAGATCTATGAGCCTATTTTTGAACATATCTCCCTGGGCAAGGAAAGCAAACGCAACAATGAACAAATGGGACTATATCAAGCTGAAAAGCTTTTGTACAGCAAAGGACACCATCAACAGAACAAAAAGGTATCCTACAGTATGGGAAAATATATTCATAAATGACAGATCCGATAAAGGGTTGACATCCAAAATATATAAAGAGCTCACACACCTCAACAAACAAAAAGCAAATAAGCCAATTAAAAAATGGGCAGAGGAGCTGAATAGACAGTTCTCTAAAGAAGAAATTCAGATGGCCAACAGACACATGAAAAGATGCTCCACATTGCTAGTTATCAGAGAAATGCAAATTAAAACCACAATGAGATATCACCTCACACCAGTAAGGATGGCCACCATCCAAAAGACAAACAACAACAAATGTTGGTGAGGTTGTGAAGAAAGGGGAACCCTCCTACACTGCTGGTGGGAATGTAAGTTAGTTCAATCATTGTGGAAAGCAGTATGGAGGTTCCTCAAAATGCTCAAAATAGAAATACCATTTGACCCAGGAATTCATTCCACTTCTAGGAATTTACCCCAAGAATGCAGCACTCCAGTTTGAAAAAGACTGATGCACCCCTATGTTTACCGCTGCACTATTTACAATAGCCAAGATATGGAAGCAACCTAAATGTCCATCAGTAGATGAATGGATAAAGAAGATGTGGTACATATACACAATGGAATATTATTCAGCTATAAGAGAAAAACAAATCCTACCATTCGCAACAACATGGGTGGAGCTAGAGGGTATTATGCTCAGTGAAATAAACCAGGCAGAGAAAGACAAGTACCAAATGATTTCACTCATATGTGAGTATAAGAACAAAAGAAAACTGAAGGAACAAAACAGCAGCAGAAGCATAGAACCCAATAATGGACTAATAGTTACCAAAGGGAAAGGGACTGGGGAAGATGGGTGGTAAGGGAGGGAGAAGGGCGGGGGAAAAAAGAAAGGGGGCATTACGATTAGCATGTATAGTGTGGGGGGGGCACGGGGAGGGCTGTGCAACACAGAGAAGACAAGTAGTGATTTTACAGCATCTTACTACGCAGATGAACAGTGACTGGGAAGGAGTATGTGGGGTGGACTTGGTGAAGTGGGGAGCCTAGTAAACATAATGTTCTTCATGTAACTGTAGATTAATGATACAAAAATTTAAAAAAAGTGTGGGAAAAAAACCCAATGTATATACCTTAATTAAAAAATACTTATATTCCTAAAAATGCTTGACATCATCTGTGCTTTCAGTGAATTACAATTTTTCTGGTGTTGAAGGTCTCTTGATCACCAAGGTAGTTGCTGACAGTGAGGTGGCTGTGACAGTTTCTTNTCAACAAGGCTGAGATATGTAAAGAAAACTGTAATTTACAACTTTGGTTATAATTTGGGGGGAAGGGGGCTGAAGGGTGGGTAGTCATATCTTTACAACTTAAACATTTTTTTAAATTATGGAAAACTTTAAGTATGCTCAAAAAAACTACACAGATTGTGCCTGTCACCCAGTTTCAACAATCAGCAGCTCATGGCCAATCTTTATTCTCCTTCTCTTTCTCCCTGTCAGTATTATTTTCAAGCAAATCTCAAACACTGTATCATTTCATTTTGACCATAATTTGATGGGGAGTCGGGGAGAGCTACAATAGAAAAATTGGGTAGTGAGAGAAATAATGCTTTTTTCTCTCCATAACCCCTGTCCCTTGTCAAGACAACAGTCTTTAGTGACAGAATATCCATGAATCTTTCGAGGAAAGAAGTCTACATGCAACCCCCAAACAACAAGCACTAGCAATTCTGAATTTACTGCAGCTGTCCATTCACTTCCTCCTTCCATCTCAGACAGACTTCAGTTCAGCATTTCAGCACCTCCCACCCCTGCCTATCCAGTAGCAAAGATAATACTGGAAGCAATGATAGTATGACTGGCTAGTATATTCCAGTTCTTAATGTCTGGCAAAACCTCAAATGACTGTTTTCTCAGCACTATATTAATCACCACATCTCTGAGTTGACAGGATTCCTCCAGTGTAGACAGGAGACCAACTGTCCATCTTTTAAATTATATCTGTGGCTAACTCCGTGGGCTACCACCTCCTAAATGAGATAAGGCAGCAGATACAACAGAGCTGTCTCCTGGGAACTGGAAGGGAAAGGAAAATCACAGACAAGGGTAGTTGTGGCAGAAACTTCACAGAAAGTTAAGAATCTAGTATGTACATCTTCACATCATCACCTACCTCTTACAGTCAAATATCAACCAAAGTAATTTGATTACCCTACAGTAAATATTCAAATCTCTTTGAGGAGTAAATGGTGTTTCACTGAAATGGAGTCAGAAACAAAAACCAATTTTTGGTGTTCCTGAATGTTTTAATTTTAATAAAATAACTAGAGGAAAGCAAGTATCATTCTAGTTATTTTATAATGTAGGAAAAATTAATAACCATAACTACATCTATGTCACAAGTATGTCTCAAGTGAAAGTACATTAGCTTTTAAAATGTCTACTCAGATACTAAGATTCAGGCTATAATTTCCTCTTGTTGAACTACATAATGAAGAGAAGACTGTTTACAAAGGATAAATTTAATCATCATAATAAGAAAACTAATTTGGGATAACTTTCAGTATTTTGTGCATTGGAATAACAACACCTATGAATACAGAGCCTATCCCACTGGCTGCATGTTGTAAATAAGATTCTTCACTACTTGATTTATCAGTATTTCTATTCCTCATACTTTCTAATACCTTCTATAAAACAAGAATTAGTTCATTTCATTATTACACATCTGAAAATTAATTTTGCATAATAACAAAGACTGAGGAAAGTTTCATTACAATTAATACGGATAAGCAAAATTTCTCAGGTGAAGAGCACACTAAATATACTCACTTTTGTTGTCTTTGTATAGAATGACGAGGAGAGTTGGTGAATAGGCAGGTCCACAATACTACTGGGGTTTGTGACACTGTTACTATGTGTATGTTCATCTTCCCTGCTACTGTCATCAGACTGATCAAAATCATCACTCTCCTGGTCCATTTCCTCTTCCTCTTCATCCTCCTCATCTTGTTCACCGGCATGTTCTTCATCTTCCTCTTGTTCTTCTTGGTTTCCCAAGGAGTCCTCATCTACTGAAATAAATCGATTATTGTTTTCTTCCAATTGTCCTTGCTGCGAATCATGTTGGTCTCCAGGCCTAGGTTCTGCTCCGACGACTTCACCATTCCGCGCAGTGTGCTCCTCCTCTTGTTGTCCTAACGGCTGCTGCTGCTGTTCCTCCTCTACCACACGATTCATCTGCTCCTCATCTGCCTGGCTTGAGGAAGGGTTACCTCTCAGAGACCCTCCAGTTCGTCGTCTTTTGCTGCCCACAGAGAGCAGTTCCTGATTCATTTCCAAAAGCCAGCTTGCTACTTCTTGGACCTTGGCTAGACTATCAGAAGATGCAAAGGTTTTCACATTCTGTAGGGGAAGATGGGGGAGAAAAACGTTTGTACAATCTACATTATCTTCTTTTATGTTATATGTACATATTGCAAATTTCATTAAAGATTGTAAAAAGTATTTGATGCCACTGTGATATTAAGATGTTTTTAGGAATCAATACAAAAAGTTTAAATTGTAAAAGTTATGAGAATTTACGAAGACAAACAAAAATCATAAACACCTTTAATATCCTTTTAAAAAATAATTTTAGAATGAAGCTTTATAGTTTCATTTCATTGCTTTGACCAATGAAACAATTTAAAAACAATAAAACAATTTTAAACTTTAGCTCAGTATTTCATAAACTACATATCCTTTGTAAAACTTCCACAATATGTTAAGAAGTATATCACAAAAAACTATTCAATGTTCAGTTAAGTTCAGGAAATGCTGAGGTAAACCAAGATAAGAAGGCTTTTTTTAACCTTAGGAGTTTCCTAAACTTCTCTGATCACAGAACCTTGTCCCTAAAACAGTTTTCTGACAGGTACCAAGTATAATCATTGTAATTTTCATTTTTCACAATGAATATAAGGTGACTGGACTGCTAATAAATAAAAAACTTTGTTAAAAAAGAAAAAAGTTCATAAGTTCATACCCTCTGACCCAGTAACTCCACTTCTGGCAATCTATCCTAAGGAAGTAATCCTAAAACAGAAAAAAAAATTATGCAGAGGATGCATAAAAAGCAAAAAGTAAAAATAAATGCAAATAAAAATAATCGAAACCCAAATGTTCAAGACAAAGGAATCCATGAGATAGGATATATATAGTGCAATCCCTAAACATAATGTTCATAAATTATATACAGGAAATTATATGATCAGAACATGATTTTTAAATTTCATACAGACTGGAAAAGAATATTTCAAAATGTTTTTTTACCATACTTCTTAAATTCTATATATGAAGCACATTAACTTCTGTTTTTAACATAGGCTCTAAAATTTGATCTGATATAGAATCTTTTCCTAATGTTCATTCTTAAATTTAATCCTTTGCAGGTATCTACATGGACATACTGAAGGTTACATAAAATAATGCCAACACTTTATACAAGTTCATATAAAATTCCTTTTAAAAGTATCTTTAGATTTGCAAGATATAAGAAATACAATATCCATTTTCTTTCATGCCCTAAGAATAACTACACTAGATCACAATGGTCATTAGACAAAACAACCTTATCTACTTTTCCAACCCTTGCCACTAGACGATCAATTCCCTAAAGTCCCACAGTTCTCACTGTAAGATTTGAAATGGGTCTAAAAGAGAGTTTAAAATAGCAGTATCTCCTTTTCTGTAATCTACACTTTCTAAGAACTAAGCTGCAGTGTGGGAGAAAAAAATTCTTCAATTCTAATTATACCCGAAAGTATAAGTGTAGAAAAGAAAAGAAAAGAGCTCCAAAGATCAAAATCTGAGGCACTCTAACTATCTGAAAGAAGAGGAGTAGTCAAAAAAGATGACTTCGAAGGAAAACCAGGAATGAGTGGTATGCTTGAAGCCAAGTAATGAAAGCACCTCCCAAAATGACAACTGTTGCTGACAGATCAAGTAGGATGAAGACAAGGAATTGACCTCTGGATTCAGCAACATGGATGTCCCTGTTAATAGGAGCAGTTTTTGTTAGTTGAGTCTGACTAGAGTAGATTTAAGAGACTGGGAAAAGAACAGTTCTGGTGAGTATGGACAAGTTAGAAGTTTGCTGTAAAAGGGAACAAAAGAAAGGGAGTGGTAATAGGGAAAATGGGGTCAAGAGAAGATTTTTGATTCTGTAAGATTGGAGAAATAGCATGTCTGTACACTGACAGGAATGATCCGGTACAAAACAAAAAGTTGACAATAGAATCAAGAAAGAGAAGAGTGATATCCTTAAGTAATTAAAAGGGGATGATGAGAAAGAGTTCAAAATTGGAAGAACTAGTTTTAGTTAGGAAAATGAATACCACATTTATGGAAATAGATGGAAAACAGAGTAGCATTATAGTTACTTTAAATTTATTTATTTTTACCATATTTCTCAGTGTGGGAACAGCTGGAAGTATGTGGGTTTTTATAATGATGGGGGTCTTTGGAAGTTCCCTACTCATTCCTTCAAATTTTTTTTTTTCTTTTCTTTGTAAGTAGGAAGCAAGGTCATCAGCTGAGAGTGATCTTAGGAGAGAAGGTGTTAGAAATCTGAAGAGAGAGGTATGAAATAGTTTTCTGGGGAGTGGAAAGGAACTGTCCTCAGTACATGAGATTTTGATGATCAAATGTAGTCAATAAACTACGATGAAATACATATTAAATTGTGACTTTTAAAAGTCAAGTTGGTCTTATTTACAACTCAGGCAAACACAGTACAATATTTCTATTTGCTAGGTAGAAGGTAGGGTTCCTTGGAAAAAGCACATTAAATATATCCATTGTTTTCAAAGGATAAACTACAGAAAATAAAGTTCATCAAAATCTTACTGAATAGTATATGCAAAAGTCACATTATGAAAAACATCATTAGAAAGCACGTTAAAAATAACGTTGAAAAACACTGACCTACACAAATGACTACAGTCCCAATGCATATAAAGGTAAATCTGTTTTACATAGGTTTTCTTCAAAGAAAGAATCAAATACTGCTTTAGTAACTGTATCTAAAATCCAACTCTCCTAACACTAATAACATTTTTCATTTGACTGTTTATGCATAGAACAGCATGAAAAATCAGGGACACTGCCTAGGATAATGCAGGTCCCAAGCATATTGCCCTTTGTATGCCCGATCTAACAGGCATATTTTAACAAGGCTAAATTAGGTGAAATGACATATTAAGAACAACTTACAAAGTGAAAAGATGAGAGAACAAAGGTCATAAATCATAAAGAATATGTATAAAGTGAAGAGAATGATGGTGAGCGGTCAGCCTATCAACAAATAGAAAGTTTATGACTGGCATTTATAAATTAGTACCAGTATTGGTCATCAATGAACACTTCTGTTACCAATTATGGATAATAGAAATTCAAATGACTATCATTGCATAACTTTAGTATTATAATGGAGGGAACAGAGAAGAAGGTATCTAAATTTAAGCCAATAAAGTTAAATGACTTTCACACTTAAAGCATGGCATGCAAACAGATTTCAAAATAAACAGATTCTTATGGACAGACCTAGTCAAAAGTGAAAAATCCAAGTAGAAAATAAAATCCAAAATCAGATTTGAAGCATAACCAATATAAAATATTCAGTGATACAGATAAAAGGTAGATTACAGGAATTCCAGAATATTTGAAGAAGCTGATAATATCTATTTGACAGACATACACAAAAATTTTTCCAAATAGTATATACATTGGGTCACATTTCTCTGACCCATTTTGGAAATAGAAAATGAGATGAACATACAGAAATTGAGTGCAAATTTTTCATTTACTGTTGTTATTCATACATTTAAATTTAAAGAAAAAATAGTATTTTTAGGAAATGAATTATAATAATAATTTAATAAGAATGATCTAATTAAATATTTACAAGTACTTTTAATTTTCTACTTTATAAATATAAATTTATATATGAATATATGTATATAAACAAAATGTACTTTATAATTATTATAATAAAATAAATATCCAGTAATTCATAGGAAATAAGAATCAATTACTAAATTTGAGCAGGGGGGAACTTTTAAAAAAATAGTTTATAAAGCCTCATATTAAAAAAAGGAAAAACATTAAGCATCCATGAACTAAAACTTGAAACCGCCATACAGGAAAAGTTAATAAATGAAGTATTAATAAAAGAATGCATATTTTGCTTTAAAATTCTAAATCTAAACATTTTTAGAGAAAACTTTTTGTATGATTTAGGTCGCTGTCATATGGAACACAGTATCAACAAACAATTCTATATCAAAAAAAATGTAAAATGAAGATTTTAAAAAATTTCTTCTTACCAATGTATGTAATGTTAAGATACATCAAATGCATAACTTTTGTTTTTATCAATTAACTAGCAAGACTGAATTTAGGACAGTCAAGTAAAATCTGATTGGTAATATATTTTGACACTAAATTGTATGATTTCCTTGACCATTGGTCATGATGAGAGTGAAAATGATTCAAGGTCAGGAATAATACCGGTAAAAGAAAACCATGGATATTTTATTTGAAAATATTCCTCTCCACAGAAAAACCAACTGAGGCTCAATTGAGATTAAGTAAATTTCTCAAGATTGTTAGCTGTGAGCTGGCTTAAAGCAAACCCAGGACCAGAAATTAACACTTAAACTGAGTTTTCTTCCTTGCGCCTCAATCTATACAACTATGTATAATAAAATCTTAAGAGTATTATTCTCTAACATTGATACTGCTTTCTTTTTCAAAACCAGAATCACTACAATGCTCAAAGATTATTCCTCTAAAACAAATACTTATTGAGGACTCAATATGCTTCAGACACGTACTAATTTCTAGAGAATAATGTTTAGAAATGTTTAAGAGGTAATCAATGACTTTTAACCCAACCAGAACCCATAGTAAAATTAGACTTTACATTACACCTCGTAATACATGTATTTAAACAGACCTAAAACAATGGTTTCAGCTGAGGGAATTATGAAATGTTTCAGATAACTGAAGTCTCTGTATATCACCACCCTTAAACACAGTCTTTTCGTTATTTGCTGTACTTGTATTCTATTAAGTTGCGACTAGTGAGCCACTGCTCCTAAGGGAAATGAAGGGTAAAGTTCCTGCAAACATCTAGTCATAACAATTCTGTTAATTGATCAATACATAATCCTTTCATATGTGTATTTCTATTTAAAGGATTGTTATTTAATATATATTGTTGATTCATTAACATTGAACTGAGGTCAACAGCACCGCAGACTCACGTCTGAAGGAAGCTGATAGAACACATGTATGCTCTCCATAAAGCTATCACAACACTATACAGCAAGCACCTCAGCACTATGCTTGGGGGACATTTT